TGTTTTGTTGGTTGCAATAAATTGGTAGTATATTATATTAATATGTTTGGTTGAGAGGAATAAATGGTGATATGTTATATAAATTACTAAATTGCCCTCTTTTTAAAATATTATATAATTATTTTTATTATTTTTTAATAATTTCTTTTAACCCATGCATTTCAGATTTAGCTAAAACACCCCAAAAAAAAAAAAAATTTAAAAATTAACAAGAACATCGCACCACCCAAAGCCACTATCGGTGGCCTACCACTACCGCCGGCAGCGACGAAAGTGAGATCTGGCCGTGAAATACGGCTATTTCACGGCCACAGATTTGCCGTGAAAGGCCAGAGGGGCTGTTCTTTGCCATGGATTTGTATCTATGGACGAAAACAACCTTATTGACGCACACAACCAGATATGGCAGGTCGTGCACCATTCCGTCACCGTCGACGGCGACGAAAGTGGAGATCTAGTCGTGAAGGCCATATATGGTTGTTTCTGGCCATGGATCACAGCGTACAATTGACAGATATGGTTGGTCGTGCGCCATTCCGTCACCACCGGCGGCGACGAAAGTGGAGATCTGATCGTGAAAGGTCAGATATTTGACCATGAAACGACAAACCGTTTCATGGCCACAGATTTGGCCATGAAAGGCTATCTAGTTGTATGAAGTTGGTAACGGCGACGAAAGTGGAGATCTAGTCGTGAAAGGCCAGATATGGTTGTTTCTGCCATGGATCACCGTACATGACCAGATATGGCTGGTCGTGCGCCATTCCGTCACCACCGACGGCGACGAAGTGGAGATCTGGTCGTGAAAGGTCAGATATTGACCATGAAACGACAATCGTTTCTGGCCACAGATTTGGCCGTGAAAGGCTATCTAGTTGTTTTTGGCAGATCCATGTCGAAACAGCGTTATCGGCGTACGACTGGCCAGATATGGCTGGTCATGTGCCATTTCGTCACCGCCGGCAATGGTGCCAGATCCAGCCACCACATGGGGTATTTTTTAAATTCAGGGGTATTTATGTCCAAAAACTTTGTATATAATAAATATGTCATTTGTATTTTTGTAAATTGTTTAAAATAACGGCATTATGTTCTAAAATTTTATTAATAAATGGTAAAATTGTAACAAAAATAAGATTGTTATATAATCTTAAAATACCTAAGAAAATTGAGGTAATCAGATTTCCTCCTATATTATCAATAGTAATTACTATTGGTATTGGAAGATAACCAGAATATCATATTCTTGACAACCAAATGTGATAATCAAGTAATATAAAATATATCATTAATCTTATATAACCTCCGACCAAACATACCTTTAGGGTTACTATGAAAGTTTCACCAAAGGTCAAAAATACCCTCCTTAAAAAACTGAAATATCAACAATACTCCCGGTCAATTAATTTTAATTGAAAGTTATCGGGTTTGTTCGGTAATAACACCACTCAATTTTTTATTACTATTAATATGTCACTAAAATCCAAATCTTAAAATTAAACCCGTTTGGTTATGTTTTGGAAAATAAATTTTGTTTTCCAAGGAATAAAATAGAAGTTGTTGGGGGCTCCTTTTATGGTTTATTTTTTATTTTTCACATACACAAAAAATATTGTTCTCTTTTTTAAGCAAAGGAATCACCAAACAATAAAGCACTTTATATGTCTCTCAAATTATTTTTTTAGACTATAAATAATTTTAAGTTTTTTCCTCTTCATAATTTTTTTGTAAATTAATTAAAAATATTAAATATTTAATTAAAATTCACATTTTGTGTTATTGTCCAAAAATTATAAAATATGTTTCATTGTTTTTATATATCAATTTAACGCATCCTCCAAAAATTGAAAAATAAAATAATTTTTTTATTTCTATTACAGTTTATTTAAAAAAAAAAAAAAAAAAAAATCAACGACCCCAACACATTACCTAAAATTAGATATACCAAGTAATTTTTAGCGAAATTCCTGCTTTATTCTTCCTGGGCCCTAAATTTGCCCTTAATCGTCAAAATAAGTTAAACTCAGTGGAAAAAAATAATTACATTATATTAGGCATTCTCTGAGACCCCTTAGGTTTAACCAAATAACAAGTTCCCCTGAGAGTTAAATAACGTAATTTCCTCTAATGTTAGTAAACCGTTAAATTGTATTCGATGAGTAGCAATATTTCCAATTACCCCTATGTCATTTATTTTAACACCAAAACTCAAGGCAAATGATATTTTCCCACTCTTGGTTTAAGAAACACATGTTCTATTCCTTAGTCTTCATCTAGACGAATTTTCATTTGACAGCTTTAACCATTTAAATATCATTTTTTCTAAATCTATATGAGGAAAAATGAATAAATTGATAAATTACTTTAAGCCCAAATTAATAAAAATTAGAAAATAACCACACATTTTTCAATTTGCACACACACCTCTTTCATCCTCTTTAATTTTCAAACCACAAGACAAAAATCAAAATTTTACATCATCAACCACACTGACACATCAAAATCAAACTCACAATAGTGTGTGGCTACTACTTTCTTTGAGATTGAACTGAAATTGTAAATCATTATAGAAAGTTATCGACAAAGTGTTGTATCCGGTTGGATCAACTTCTTAATTCACACAAAAGCTTTTGACATGGCAGAGAGAGGAAACAAGCTTTCACTGAGAAAGTTACTCGATTTCATGGCTTGACTCGAAGTAAACCAACTTAGTAACTTTACTTTTGTTTTTGGAGTTTATGTAGATTTGCAAAGTCACAGCTTTCAAAGATTGCTTAGGCCTTAACTTCAAAACCCTGTTTCATTTGGGTCATCAAAATGGTTTTTTTGTAGAGGATTTTGAGGATAAAGGACACTAATAAAGGGTTGGTGGGTTAAGTTCTCATATTGAACCTCCTTGCAATTGGTGGGTTATGACCCTCTGGGTGGAACTTGGTTGTGCCCATTCAGTTGAAATCAAAGTTCCAATTGGTAGCCGCAATGGCATGGTCTTGGCGCGCGGCGTTGCAATGGACTAACTGGCCAAGGCACTGTTTTTTAATTTAATTGTTTTGTTTTAAAATTTGTGAAGTTTTGGAAAGAGATTAGGTTTAATTATCTCTAAGGTTATAGTATATTCATCATAAGATTGTAATACCCTTTGACCGTTAAGTTTAACGGTTTGAATTAAAAAGTCGTGGAATGTGTGATAGTTTCAGAACCGGGGGGTGTGAGTGGTGGAGACGTAAATATATAAAAAATTGATAAAATATTATTATTAGATCAGCTTATGTTATCTTGCTACCTCTGTCTCCTTCTCATTCTTTTCTCTCTCTTACCTTCGACGAACCCGAAGAAGAAGCTGAAGAAACTTGTAAAGAAAATCATCTAAATTTTGTAAGAACAACCATTCTCTCTCGTTTCAGATCTTTTCACTTTTCTTCTCTTCCATCTTTCTGTATTTTCCTTTCTTTTTTTTTTTTTTTTTGGATCGGATCCTCGTTCTTCACGTGTATTTTGCTGAGTTTATTTTATTTTATTTTTGCTTGTTTTTTCTTCATCCTCGTTTCCATTTTATAATTAAGGTGTAAATATTAAATCTTGATAGACGTATATATGTTAGATCCATTTTCTTCTTGTAATTCTGATTGCTATTTGTCAGCTTTTCAGCGAAGAAATGTGAATGCTTGAATATATATTTTTTTTCAGTAATTTTTCTGTGGATGTACGGTGCAGCTGATAAAAAATGTGAAGATATAAATTTTTCTGCCTTTTGTTTATTGTCATTGGTTAATGGTTAGTGGATAGCTGTTTAAAGTGGTTGTATATGTTCTGTTACAAAAATTCCAGAAAATGCTGTCAATTTGAGATGAGGATGAGCTGCTATATATTTGCCCCCAATTGTAGGCTTAATGATACATGATATTTTGGGGACATATTATTGGAATGACTGGTAATGCATGAAGTGTTTTTTTTTTTTCCCGAATGAGAGATTTCCAGAACAGGGAATTGTTCTAGGTTATGTGCCTTATGTAAGAATTTAGCTGTATGATTCATAAATTCTTCAAGGGAGTCCCTCTTTAGAATATATAACGTTTTAATGTCTCTGACTCAACGAAAAGTTGAAAATTGTTTTTTTATTATTATTCTTTTGTGTATGGCGTGGTCCACACTATGATTGCATTATATTCATCTAGCCGTTTGGATGTAGCTTATCGTTATATTGATTGTGATTGTCATTGTGATTATTATTACTATGTTATTTGTTTTTCTTGTGTACTTGTTTGAGAGAGGGAGAGCGCTATAAAGTATTCTACAATTTGAATGCTATAGTGCAGAAGAGGGAGTGAGGGGGGCAATACTGTGTATGGAGCAGAAGAAAAATTCATATATTTGCTGGTCTGGATGTTCCATCGTGGTGTGGTGGAAGGGACGTATCTTCGCTATGCATGCTATATGTGAGGTGATTTTGTAAACTCACCCACACTGTAGCCCCAGATACATCCACTGCATATGAGCACATGTAGTCATTAATTATGCAGTCAGCAACACAGCAGTTCAGTCTAGGTCACAACATAGCTCTTGGCAGAATTGACATTGTGTGTCAGCTCTTACCGACAATTGAACAATGTAAAGTTTGCAATCTAATCTGCTACTACTTTTACTTAAGCATCATAAGTAATCCATCCTCCAGATGCTTGCTTCATGAATTAAGGTGCTTCTTACCACTCTTGTTAATTTATATAATCCTCCTCCCTCAAACCCTCGTGTGAGTCGGATTAGAATCGAATACTTCTTGTGTAACTAAAGAGACGATACCCACAGGGCTCTTTAAATTTCACTCCTGAATACTTGGAAAAATAGCGAATATGCATGCAATCTCCAACTATTTCCTGTGCTGGGATTTCTTAGAACTTTAAATTCTGAAAGCAATGAAGTAAGGCACAGGAAACCATATGAAAAACCACAGCCCTTTTTGTGGGGTGGGTAAGGCATGCTTGAGGCTTCTTTTTCTGTTCTTCCCTGGATGGTCCACTAATGGGTTTGTTCATATTAATTATTTGTTTATTTTGTCTCCATATGTGTAGATAAGCAACAAAGAACATTTGATGTAGTTGTCTTGTTTGATTAAGACTTCTCTTTCCATTTTTCCTGCTACATTTTTTCCTGGTTGTGGCTCAGGTGGAATTGCCCATATCTTGTGTAAAGGAATTTGGATTTGTTTATAATGTTTTCAGGCACTCATCATATGTTGTCAAGAAATATTGGGTAATCTATATTGTACTTCTTGAATTCTTCTATTCAACACGTACATTATTTGCTTATAATTTTATAGCCTTGTTATCTGCAATCTTTTTCTATGAGACTGTGGATTCAGTTTTAAATATAAGCACATCTTAAATATTTTATGTAGGTGTGCAGGCAAGCACGCATGTGCATGTGTGTATAAAAGCATGGTCTTTAGAAATTTTGGATGTTGATTTGATTATGGAATCTGGTTCTAATTTAAAATTCATAATTGAAATATAGAGAAGTTTTATGTTAAGTGCTATTTTGTACTTTGCTCAATTGTATTTTCTTGACAGGTGGTTAAGATCTGTTCAAATGCAGTCAGATCCTGGGAAAGCTTCTGTTCGGGTGGAAAAGGATGAAAATGACTTAATTGATTCAAATTTGGCAAGTAACCAAGATAATACTCATCAGGAACAGATAGATCTGTCTACTTCAACCTCTTCATCATCGTCTTCTGATGATGAGTCTATTGAGACACAGGATCTGACTAATGGGAATGCTTCTAAACAATTGGTGCTTTATGATCCTACAGTTAATGGTACAGGTGAAATTGTACCTGTCCCTGAACCTGCTCAGTGTCAGCGTCTACCATTTGGGAGATACTCAGGCCCAAATATGCAATCTAGGGTTTTGCCATCTGTTGGGGCTTTCACTGTTCAGTGTGCCAACTGTTTTAAATGGAGACTCATCCCAACAAAGGAGAAATATGAAGAAATACGTGAACATGTTCTAGAAAATCCATTTATATGTGAAAAAGCTCGTGAATGGCGGCCTGATATATCATGTAACGATCCAACAGACATCTCACAAGATGGCAGTCGGCTTTGGGCTATTGATAAGCCCAATATTGCTCAACCACCTCCTGGGTGGCAACGACTATTAAGGATCCGAGGTGAAGGAAGTACCAAATTTGCCGATGTGTATGTGTCGATTCCTATTTGTTTATTTATAAATTTATATTTTTTAATTGTTAATAATATGTTGGTTATGTGGCTTTCTTCTTGCCACCTAATATATATTCCTTTTTGCTTTTCTTTACTTATCATTTGGTATGAAAACTTTTGTTTCTTGTAAAGAAATAAATGGTTAGCATCCTAGGTTGGTCCGTATTACGTTGAGAACATCTTCTTATGATCATATTTTCATTATATATAGGATACTCCTCTTGGATCAAGGCATTTGTTATGATTCTTATAACTATCTTTGGTTTTTCTTAAGAATACTTAAATCTTGGAATTAAGTCGATGCTACTGTTGATTAAGGAGCTAATGGTAGTTGCATAAGTTCTTCTATGAGGTTCCTAGATATTTGACCACTAACAGTCTATTATGATAAGATTTTATTTTGTTTAAGCAAATTTGTTTGTCCTATTGAGATATTATCTACTTGTCTTATGCCTAAGAGTATATTGACACAAGTTTAAGTGGTCTAGTATTGCAATTATGTAAGCTTTTCTTGATAAATAACTTGGTGATTTTCTTTGGAAAAAGGTTCTTTATGGTACGGGGTAGTGATGAGCAAATATGGCCTTCATAATATAGGTTGGGATTCTAAGATCGTGGCTAGGAGATCCTCTTGAAGCCCTTGGAAATCTATCTCCAAAGGCTGTCCTGAATTTCTTTCTTATGTGAAGCTGGAAGTAGGGTTGGTGATGTAATTTTTTTTTTTTTTTTTGGGAAGATTCTTGGCTTCAAAATAATCCTTTATTAGACATCTTCCCTCATTTTTATAGATTGTTGGGACTTCATCGTCTCTATCAAACTAGAGTGATTTCTTTTGATGGGTTTCCTCCCACAACTAGAGTTGGAATGACCTTTTTAGGAAATTGAAGGAGATAGAGATCCATGACCTCTCTACTCTTATGGTTATGGTGGATAATGTGTCTATTAATGCACTTAAAGAGGATGGATGGGAAGTTGGGTTAATCAGGTTTTTTCTCTTGTTAATCCTTTTTCTCTTGGTTAATTGTTGACCCCTCTTACTCATCTTTTGTGCTAGGTAGAGTGATTTGGAAGTCCAAAATTCTTTGTAAGGTTCAAATTTTTTGCTTTGGCTGGGCTCAAATTGGAATCTATACAGTAAATTTATTAAAGAAATTCTCTAATATGTGTTCGACTCCCTCTTTGGTTACAATGTGTAAAAGAAACGAGAAAAACTTAGACCAATGATTCCTCCATTGCCCATTAGCTATTGGCTTGTGGTTCAAATTGATACAATACCTAAAATTTCTTGGATCATTCAAAACTTACGCAAATCCTTCTTAAAATTCTTGGACTTTTTGGAAATATGTTGTTTTGGGCAGTTTTTTTGGGTAAATTGGATTGAGAGGAATAGAAGGATTTTTGGCATTGATACCAAGGAAGACATGCATTCTTTGTGGGATAGAGTTCAACTTTTAGCTACCCTTTGGGCATCAGTTTGTAGCATATTGAGATTCTTAATTCTTCTTCATCATTTAAATTGGAATGGAGTTTTCAGTTTTGGGCTATGTTTAGTTTTGATTGTTGAGAGTGTTAGCTAGACTGGTTTTTATTTTTTAATTTAATTTTTTTAAAATTTAATGGTTGTCATTTTGGGGCTTCTGGTATGCCCTATGTCGAGCTTTTTCTTGGTTTCTCAAGCTTGTTTAGTGGATTGCTTGCTCACTTTTGTACAACTTTTTTTTTTCCCATAAACTAGTAGTTCTTTTTAAAAAAAAAAAAAAAAAAAAATTGTCTTGGAAACTAGAAGTAACACATCTCCCCAGATGGTCCATTTTCTTCAAACAAGTTGTTATTTGTCCATTTTTTGACCTTCCTAAAGAAAATTGTTCTCTTAGGGACTGCTTTAATGCTGTCGGAGGATTGTGGGCAATTGTTGAGAGTTTTTGTGGAAGATGCCTGAATGAACTTCTCTACAATAGATTATAAGGTGAAACTAGTGGTTCATGGAGGTTTCTATCAAGATATTATGGAGAATCTTCACTTCCAATACTGAAGTAGATGCCTTACGGTGTAATTTATCTTTTCCCTTGTTCATTGTAATTAGTATTGCTATACGATGTAGTTTATCTTTCTTCTACAGAAACAAGGTAAGATGACCATCTTCATAGGGTAAGATCTATCTCATTCCATCTCTCCCCTCTAACATCTATTAACATAATCTCAATTGTCATCAGTGCATACAAATATAGAAATATAGAAGTAATCTCTTGCTATGTAACTGCTCCATATGTACTAAGTTACTTAAAGTCCAGCAAAATGCCACCTTTTTAGAAGTCATAATTTTTTCTGGGATGGCAAATTTGTAAATTTTAATATATCTGCATAATCTTTGAAGGTGAATATATCTTAGCAGGTCACTAAGAGAATATTTAGCAAAATGAATGCAGTTCCAAACTTTATCCAAGCGCTCATAACATCCTATTAAAATTCAAAATTCGATACATATGAAATTGGAGGTAGATCTTTGTTTATTTCATATTTCTTTGGACTTTGCAAGAATCCATCAACATTTCCTCCTGATAGTTATCCAGAGTCTGAGCAACGTGATGATCATAGTAAGCAAGTATTTTCTCTACCTCTGTTATTAGCAGGATGATCTGTCATTCTGTCATTGCTTTATATCGTCCTTTTCTTCCACCCATTTCTGAGGGTTAAACATGAGGAAATATGGGGGATGGCTCACACTAAAAACACATCACCTACTGCCATTTTGTTATGTTTGACTCATGTGCCTCTCTTAGTTGCTAGTGTAGATTACACTGACTCCCCCTCTAGCATGTGGGATGACAAGGAAGTCCCCTCTAATAAACAGTGACAGGTCATTCCTTTTGTTGGACTTAGATTACATATTATCCACCAATTATGATATAACCTTATTAGTTGTATAATCCAAAAAACCAAGATTAGCAAACAACCTAACTGGAGGAGTTATTTTGTNGGAATTTCGAATTTTACCAGCTGTGGAATCCACAAAATTCTTGCTGTTTTCTGTAATTACAAATATAAAAAAATAGTTATTTTAATCCAAAAGCCAATGGAACTATCCATGTGGATTGTGGTGATGGGATCAACAATTAATTATTTTGTGTTTTATGGAATTATCATAAAATTAAAATTTATTATTTCTTAAATTGATAAAAGAATTATTACATGATCATCATTTAAAGCATATATTATAGAACAAAAATGATTGCTCCAACTAGTGCAGTTATTGCATCAGGGAAATATTGGTGAGTGACACTAATTAGTTTTCGTAGCAATAAGAGGTAGGTTAGTTTAAGAAACCCAACATATCCAAAATTTTGGTAAGTTAGTTTAATGAGTAGAATCTCTTTTAATCTAATCCAGAAGAAAACATATAGAGGCCAGATGTGTATTTTATCTAAGAAAGCTCCTTATCTTGATTAAGGGTTGTTTGAATCCCTTATACAATCATAGCCCTCTCAAAAAGGCTAAAAATCATTAAATAATTCGACAATCCCCAATAGACACTTTGGTCCCGCATTGGTTCTTACGATCTCGATTTCTTAAAAAAATTCCTATATGGTTATCTGTTTTGGCTATAGCAACCTTATATCTACAGACATGTTTCTAAACACAATGTCTTTTTGTCTTCAATATGGGAATAACGACAATTTTTCTTTTTCTATTTAGTTGACCCTTCTCATTTAATTAAGCATTACCATTAAAATGACTTGTCAATTATATTATATAAGATTCAATAGTTTTGCATTTAACATTAAAGCATGTTAGATAGCACATTTGGACTATTTTTGTCGAACAATTCGATTAAGCAATGTGAATTTGGCTTTTAAACAAAATCTTGACATTCTGAGAATTAAAATTAGTAAAAATATCTCTTAAAATTATTAGAATTTATAGATTTAAAGTTTATTAGAAATGTTATATATGCAAATGCAATATAGGTGAGAAAGAGGGTTATTTAGAGAAATTCCCCATCAATATCATATCATGGAGATGGGCCCAGAAACATAAAAGTAACATGTGCATGAATGAAACAGGTAATGGGGAGTGACAGTGATGGTCAAAGCAATCGGTCAACCAACAAATGCATCGCTTTGTAGGTAAAGGTCATTTAAATTAACCATGGTTAAATTAAATACAACCATAACCAATACTTTAAGTTAACTATATCATCATCATTCATCACTTTTAGTCTAATAGAATTTTCAATTTTCTGACTATAATAACTTTTACTGGATTTCTGAAAATTTTATTGAGAAAAAAAAAAAAAAATATATATAAAAATAATAAAGGGGTGTAGATGAAAGAAAAGAAAAGAAAATGTCTGGTTAATGTAGGGGTAGAGTTTCAGCATTTGGTCTCTAACAAACTTGACAAAACAAAAACAAAACCATCCACAATCACTTCTTTTCATTTTATTTTCCCTTTTTTTTTTTTTTATATTTATTTATACTCTTTCCTCTCCCTTTTTCCCGGATTCTTGTCTCCTCTTTTCCCGGCTTCTTTGTCGGAGCTTCTCGCCGGAATTTTTTTTTACTTCTATTCGTTGACTTACCTTCTTTCTTTCTTTCTTTCTTTTTCTTTTTCGGGTTAAAGTTACTCTTTCTCTTCTTCTTCATCCAGCTGATCTGAGCTCATAAGCTGAAATTTTTTACTCTTTTTATCTTTTTAAGCACTTGCTTTAGTGTTCAAAGACTCTTTGATTGCTTTGATTTAGATCGTTGATTTTCCCGGGAAAAAGAAAGAATCATGAGTGGGTGAAATTTGTGGATCAAATTGGGGGGGCAAGAGTTTTAGAAAGTTGTCAGAAGGAGAAATGAAGAAGCCGGCGAACGCTGCCTGTGCTTCCTCCGTTACGGCGGCCTCAAATTCCGGTGAAGGTTAGGTTTTTAAATAATTAATAATTTTGTGAATATAATAATAAATTTAATTTAAGCATCGAGAGAACGCTGAGTGATGTTAATTTGCGTTTTTGTTTTGTCTTTGTCTTTTTAATAAATTAATTAATTTGAAGGCCAAATGCTTTTGAATTCATGATTGGGTGACACGTGGCGGTGTAATTTTTTTTTTTGCAGGAGTTGTGGAGAAGAAGATGATAAACTCGGAGCTGTGGCACGGTGTGCCGGGGGCGTTGGTGAACCTTCCGGCGGCCGGTACTCATGTGGTTTATTTTCCCAAGGCCACAGTGAACAGGTCACTTTCGTTTTCACTCTTCCCCCATCTTATCTGAGTTCGTGAGTTAATTATTGTGCATTAGATTTTTAAAATCTTGTTAGTTACTATTTACCCTGACTTTATATTAATTATTTGCTTCATTTAATGTAATTCTTTTTGGTGATTTCTTTTCATTTCCTTGTAATTTTTGGGTAAGGCCCATTAGTTCTGTGAGCCAACAACAATTTTCAATAAGTTGAGTTGTATTGTAGTATTTTTTATATATGAAGATGTGATTTGATGTCATATAAAATCTATGTTCAGGTTAGAGATTTCCAAACTGGAAAAATGAATTTTTTTTTTTTAATACTAATTTTGGGATTTATAGGAAATTGTTTACATCGAACTCTTTGCAACCAAAAGTGTTTCTAGCCTTTTGTTTTCTATGTTGAACAAGAATTTCCTAGAATCATAAGTATGTGAATTCCCAGTGTAAGTGTTATGTTCATAGTCTGTAAATAAAGAAGATTCTTGGCATAAAATTCAATAGATTGGTTTGCAACTGTTTGTATGTTGTATTGGGATTTCGTTTTTGGGTTAAATTAGTGTCCTGACTTGAGAGTGAAACTGGCAACAGGTAGCGGCTCTATGAAGAAGGATGTAGATGGTCAAATCCCAAATATTACCGAATCTTCCATCAAAGCTGCTATGTCTTCTTCACAATGTTACATTGCATGTATATCTCTGCTGGACTTTTTTTTTTTTGTTTTTTGGCTTTCATTCCTTTCTCTGCAACATAATTATATAATTTATATTTTATTTATCATAATGTTGTCACTTTCTTTTTGATTTTGTAGGCAGACCCCGAGACAGATGAAGTCTATGCTCAGATGACCCTCAACCGGTTCTTTCTGTAAGGACTTGATCCAAAATGACCTAAGAATCTTCATTTTGTAAATGATTGTATACGAGCTCTTGGATGGTGTGCAGAATATGCATTGTGCTTTAAGAGTTCTATCAAATCAAACAAAGCTACTAGAAGAAAAAACAACAAAAGACACATCAGTGTCTGGGCAAATCTTCCAATTACCAAAACGCAGTTAATTGTTTAACATTTTTTGTTTTCAGTTGACAAAGATGCATTGCTGAGATCAGATTTGGGCTCAAGTCAAATAAACCACAAACAGAGTTTTTCTGCAAAACATTGACAGCAAGTGATACAAGCACTCATGGAGGTTCTCTGTGCCTGTCGTGCAGCTGAGAAAATTTTCCCGCCTCTGTAAGCAGTTTTTCTTATGGAAACACATGGATATATCACTTTCAAACTTTAGATAATCTTTCCCGCCTCTTGTAAGCAGTTTTCTTATGGAAACACATGGATATATCACTTTCAAACTTTAATGATAATCTTTTTTCTTTCAATAGGATTTCTCTATGCAAACACCAGCTCAAGAACTTGTGGCCAGGGATTTGCATGATAATGTATGGACCTTTCGCCATATCTACCGTGGTATGTCAATTTTACATCCTTGAGTTTTCACTAGTTGAACTCATGAGTGATACTTCTTATACTGCTAGTTTTTGCCATTTATATGCAACTAATGCCAGTTCTTCATTTCTCTTATTAGGAAACCTAAAGCCATTTGTTACAACAGGATGGGAGCCTATTTGTTAGTGGAAAGAGGCTTTTTGCTGGGGGACTAGTTTTATTTATTAGGTAACGGTAATGTATTGAGGATTCCTTGGAATTAAGCTTTCCTGTACATATAAAAAATCTTATTGCGCAGATTCACATCCTTTTATGGTTTGGACTCACCATGTTAATGTAAACTTTAAACCTGTTAGTTTTCTTACGATTCTTAATATCGTGAGCAGGGATGAAAAGCAACAGCTGCTCTTGGGCATTGACGAGCTAACAGGCAACCTACCAATCTTTATCATCTGTACTGTCAAGTGACAGTATGCATATTGGAATCCTCGCTGCAGCGGCACATGCTGTGCAAACAATAGCCCTTCACTGTGGTATAATCCAAGGTCACTTTTCGTTCTTAGGGTCTTACTTTATGATTTGGTTTTTTCGTGTATGCTTGATTTATGCTCGATAGATTCTGTGATCATGGATCGGTTTATGTAGGATGAATTACATATCTGTGGGATGAGAAATCACCCTCAATAACATCTTCTAATTCAGGGCTAGTCCATCAGAGTTTGTTGTCCTTGGCAAACTACCAGGCAGTTACAGCAACCAAATCTCACTTGGCATGCGCTTTAGGATGATGTTTGAAACTGAAGAGTCAGGAAATAGAGGTAGGTGCTTGAATTAATTTTTTTAGATTTGATGATGCCGATAGAAAAAATGCTCGTTAGAGAGTTATTTCTAGTGTTCATATTGAGAAAGAGCAAAATCTTGACATTTGAATCTCTGAGTTCTTAATAATAAATAGAGCTTAAAGT